AAGTTCTTTGGAAGCACAAAGCAGTGTTTATTGCTGCAAGCCATATGACTCAGAGCAGGACATGCGCACTTAAATCCTAGGCTATAGTAGGCTATTATTTCTAAATATTTTTAGGATGCTTCCTATTCTGAGAGCAGAGCCTTGCATTCACAAATCATGTGTTTGCCAGTGGCAGCACTCAGCTATTTAATGAGCTATTTGTGGTCAGAAAACAGTTGATAAAAGTCCAAGTTGTACCAGCTGGCCTCAAAATTTAGCCAACATAATTGCAGACCAATGCTGAGATAACTGCTCAGGACAAGGCTCTCTTCTTTCTGTTTGAAATGCACTTGACAGTAATAAGAGTCAGCTGTACATACCTCGCTCCCTATTAGCCACAAAGCCCACGTCACCATAAACTCACTTAAGATGCAAAACCAAAACATCTGGCATATGTTCGAGTAACTCGACATTGAGAGATGCTATATTTTATTTCTCTGATACCTACTGACAGCTCTACCTCTCCTGCTACTTCACCGCCATCTGGAAAACTTAAGAAAAAAAAAAAGATATTCAATTTAGCTTTGCCCCATGGGACAACACTATCCATATCAGCTGACAGGTGTGGAATTAAACGATAAGCCTGAATAGTTTAAGCCTAGTGGAGGATTTAGCTTGCTTGCAATTTGCCTGAGAGGTGCCGTTCTTAGCCCAGGTTGCTGGGTTGTCCAGTGCCCTGGGGATCCCAGACTCGGTAATGAGAGGTTCAGGAATAGCTCTGCTGCAGGGACAGAAGGGCTGGAGGGAATGGCTGTTTGCTGCAGGATGTGAAGGAAGGAGCAGGATGCAAAGTGGTGGCCCATCCAGACTTGGAGCATCTCAGTCTCTCCCTAGCGGTGCTGCCACTGTGTATTTGCTGCTGTGGTCCAGAGCCAGGGCTTGATACCTGGAGCCAGACAAGGCAGCAAACACTTACCAATGTAGTGTGGCACTTTGCCAGACATCTAACTGCAGTGGAGCTATTCCCATGCCTAAATAATGCAACATTATAATACTTATAAAATACTTATGAAATCCTGAATAAATATTAAGTACTACCACGTGCTAGAAGGGATGCTTTCAATACTTTCAGCAAAGGAAAGACGAGGTGCTTTCAGAGGATAACTCACCCCATCCAAATAAAAGCCTCTAAAGTGCTTTTGAAAGGTAAAGCATTTTCTCTATGTGAGTTTCACGGCCACCCATTTTTGAAAACACTGCCCGGTACCTGTCTAACCAGGTACCAGACAGGGTAACAGAGCTGCTCTACACAGCCTTAAAACAAGCCAAATACAAAACTAAGCCCTGTCAGCGTACATGAAGGGACCTCTGAGAGTGATGCCTGCGTTGGCATGGCCAGTGTGACCATTAAATTATCGAGCCTTGCCTTGTGTATGACACAAGCTGCAGCACTTTCTTTATCCCCAAAATTCATTTGAGCTTTTGGTATTGACAACAACTGTGCAAGGTTTCATTAACTGTTTTCTCTAAACCTCTCTGGCTGTTCCACTCTGCAGCGGTTCTCTTCTTCAATCTGCTTTTCCCCTTTTCATTTAATAACAGGAGGCTCGCTGTTCCTTCTCCTTTACAGGGTTTATTGTACATACCAGGTATTGTATATACAAGGTTTACTGTATATATTCCTTGTCCTTTACAAGCTGTGCTGCCTGCAGCCGACTGCATCTTCCTGCAGCCCTCCAGCAGTCTCCTGCTCTTTACAGCTGAAGAGAGATCTCTCACCTCTGCTCTTTCCTCCTCCCTTTACTGCCACATGTTTATACAGCAAAGAGCTGTTTTCAGGAGACCGAGGAAAAATATCTGTACATGACACCAAGTGAAAGAATTAAATTTTGATTTTTTTAAAATAAACTTTTTATCTCAAAATAATGGCACCCTTATTAAGTCATTGGAAACTTAAAATAATTGATTACAAAATTACACTGAACTGTAGTTCTGTCTCTGTGTACAGATTTTGCTCTCAGTATTTATTCACTTATAAAATAATAACAATAAAAATAATAAATGCTTCATTTGTCAAGTTTGTGCATGTTATTAAGTAATTTATTTTCAAACTTAATCTTAGACACAGAATGAAACTTTAATTGTCACTAAATCTACAGCGGCATCTTAAAGAAAATGCACATTAAAGTTGAGTCTGAATGAGCGGCCGAAGAAGTAAAATCTTAAACTATTCTAAGACAACTCGAGTTTCTGATAGGACTAGTTACATTTTCTATTTACAAGAAATGAGATATGTTTCAGTCTTATTAACTCTGTATGCCTGATTTTTAAACTGAAGCATTTGTGTATGGTTCATTGCAACAAGAGCCATGCTCCTATGACGATCCTACGACTATCCTACGACTGATCGCTCCTGGCAGAGTGTAGATGAAGAGCACCAAGAAGATAACGATAATAAGCAGAATGATGCCGATGATGATGTACTTCTTGTAATTCCTCCAGATCAGATGATACAAACACTTGAAAGGATTGACAAACCACGAGAAGGATGTATCTGGTCGGCTAAAAAGGAAGAAAGTAGAAAAGAAAGAAAAACATCGGTAAAAGCAGATTTAGATATTTCCAAAATGACCCCACTGCAAAACTGAGTCTAAAAGGACCTTTAGCTCCTGGGATCCCACTGAAGGATTTATGAACTCTCTGGAGAGAATTTCTAGGAATTTTACCCACTCTCGGGTCACTCATCTTCCATCAGCCCCCGAGTGCATTCTCCACCCACCACTGGAAATGAAATTCCAGTTCACACTTCATAACTATTCCCATTTAAGACAAGATATGGAGTTCAAGATTACAGACAAGACCACCATAAATCCTAAAGGAGAAATGCAGTTAACCTGGTCTTCTTGAGTATGCTGCTTTCTATTCACTGTGATGAGTTCAGCATTGAAATAGGAGTAAAGAGACAGTACAATAAATCTGATTTATTGGTGGTAGTCACAGTGCCATATCAGGCACAGGCTCAGGCCTGGCTTACAGCCTAAAATAGCATATTTTCCAAAGGGATTTTAAAGTAAGTCACTTGACAACAAGAGATGGATCCCAAAGTCTGCTTAGTCTGTCTGGCTACATAAGAGCCACCTTTTTCTGCATCTACCATCCTATTTTTTTTCCAAAAGTTGTCCCATGTCATATTCTTCTCCTAAAAAATAGCCTCATAACCCGAAGCTTCTTCATCTTGTGCTACGAAGCTGGCTAGGTACAGAGAGGAAGACCACATTGTCTTTGGAAAAGTATTGGCTTGATCTCTTCTCCACCATGCCACACATCCTTGGAGTTCATTATCCCTCTGACTTTAACAGCCTTCCTCCTACCATGAGCTGAGACAACATCTGTCACCTGTGTGTGATGAGATGACCTGCAGAGCACAATGGTGCTGAGCAATGTTACCAGCAGCAAAATTGGGTGCACATTGTCTTTCCTATCAAATATTGCTGTAATTGTGCAGATCGTAGTGTAGGGAGAATAAAATTAAGACTAGACATCACAAAGAGCAATGACTGTGTCTTACTTCAGAAAGCTGTTAAAGAATGTAAACGTCTCAGTCATCTTGGGAATTCAGGATGTGCAAGTGAATGTCAATCTGACAGAAAGTCAGGAAATTGAAAAGGCCAGTTGAACATCTTTTAAATAAAAGTGTTTTATAGGGAGGGTGGACATGGCTCAGAAATAAGTCAACAAATAGGCCCTCCAGATATAAAGCAATTCAGAAAAAATGGATACTGTAAATAGTAAAACTGACCAAACAGTAGACTTCAGTAATAGAACTATTATTCCATGTCTTCCAGGTATTCAAGGGCTTTTTATAACTTTTATATACAGAAAAAAAGACAAACCCAAACCTTGACACATTCAACTAGTTTCCTGTGCAACTCAGGCAATTGAATTTCCCCTGCCTGGGCTTTGAGGCAGAAAACTTGTATATCAGATCTGCCGGGAAAGCATCCTGTCATGACTGGCAGCATTGAAGAGATGGGTACCAGCCTGGTGGTTTGGCCGGTAGGAAATTGCTCTCACTGCTAAAATCAATGCATCTTATATCTCATGTCCATGTTTTGCTTTAGTTCCCATTTAATCTTTGTGAGCCCTTACTCTGTTACATCAAAGAGTGAGCTATGGTCTATGCTCCTAGAATATGATACAGTTTTTGAAATTATTTTGTTTCTTAATCCAGAAGCTTAATTATGCAAAACAAACTGAGAGTGCCTGTTCCTCTCTGCGCGTTTAACAGTGACAGGTACTGGCATGGAGATGTAGCCATCCTAACATATACTTTTCTGAGGCCTACCTCTTCCTGGAAAGATTTTGTTTGAAGTGCAGAACCAATTTGCATCTGTCAGTGGATTTTGATTACTGTGCTTGAACAAACCTCATATTCCTCACAGCCCTCCACGGCACTGAACTGGTAAACTTTCATACCCAGTTCATGCATGTGTCTGAGCTAATATAAAGGAGAGTATTGAAGATTGTGTATTTTATTGAACTGAGGCATGAAATGTCTTGAATAATTATTTTTGAAGTGCCTGACTGTCTAGCTGACATGGTATTTCTATTGATCTGCTGGTATAACTTTATTTGCTTTAGGATTTATCTTGCGGAGCTTTAAAAGCTGGCTGTCTGGTCTGGTGAGCCACGTGGGCTGCCTGCACAGCCAGTGTGGACAGGAAGGACCTTCCAGAGCACAATTCATCTCTCTGCCCAGCATCCTGCTGGTGACTGCTCCCACCCTTACGTATTTGCATTAAATGGGATGACTCCCTGCTCTGTACATTAGCAGCTATAAAAAGAGATGAAAAGATTAGCCTCGGACTTAATGCTTGTCTCTGAGAAGAATAAAGCTGGGTGAGACTAGATACATTTAGTTTAATTTAAAGCATGCATCACAATTAAGAGTAGAACTGGGTCAAACCATGTGTTGGATGTATATTTTGTGATAAAAAAGTAGACAGGAGCCTCTCCATTAAGTCAGAACAAGATCTGGAAGGTAACTCTAGTGTTGTGGTTTGTGGGCTGAAACACCTCAGGGCAGGCCGTGCAGCAGAGAAGGGGACACCCCGCCAGCGACAGCCTTTTTGCACATTGGCACCTTTACAGATAAAGTGTCCTTGAAGTGAAATCCAGGGAGCCCAGGACCATCAGACTGCCTGGAGCGCATGGACTGAGACAGGAGATGTGACCTTGAAAAGGAGGGGCCTTTGTGGGTCCTGCTCTGGGCATGCAGACTTTGCATTAAGCAACTGCACTCCCTCTTAAAACTGATCTTTTTGATGTTTAACATGATATGTAAGATATATATATATATATCATGCAAAGAAAAAATATATGGAATATGCCACCACGACCACCACCACTTTCAATTGATCTTCAGAAGAAATTTTTTTCTTAGGAAGAAACTTAATTTCTTTTTTTAAGCTCATTACTATACATATATGTTATTATATATACAGTTTATGAGCTGAAATGGATTAAAAGTATTTTTTTCCTGAATACAAATATCTCAACTGATATTTTTCTTTTAGCGTGTCAAACATTGAAAGGCAAAGTGCTCCTTTGGATCACCCGTCCTTTTAAAATCATTTAAAATATCCTCATTGGAGAATATTATGTTGAAAAATAAGCTTCATTCTTTTATTATGAAATACAGTGAAGTTAGAAACAGGTTTGTTACAGCTGTGTGATTCCTATATGCCTCACTTTGCATGTTTTATGTGTCCTTATTTGTATGTGATCAGTTATGCAAAAAGCACCAGGCATATAAAGCTCAGTTTTCTGCTGGTATGTAGCAACTAAGACACTAATACATGTGCAAATAATTCTTGCTTCCTAGCACTAAGAGTCTGTCTCCTAATGGCCAGATTAATCGATAATGGTTATAGTAAATGTTGAATATAATCATTTTAGCGCACTTAAACATTAACCACTTAAACTTATCTTCTTAACAGGATGATTTTCGTCCCTCAGAGTTTTCTACATGGTCAAACTGAGGTGTTGGGTTTATGAATAAATCACGACAGTGTAAGAGCCAGGTCAACTGTGAAATTGGCCCACATGTGAACTCTATCTGAGGACAGATGGAAAGTAACGTGATTTATTTTGGCTGAAAGACATTTCAGCTCACCTGGAACATACTCCAGGTCTGATTGCTGCCAGGCTGCCCTGGCACACGGGCACGCTGGGACTCACAAGTAGGCCAAACAGCTTCTCAAGGTTAGAGCACAAAAGAAGAGAAAAGCCAGGAGGGGTGCAAGGGGATCTGTTCCCCTCTGTTGAATGCCTCAGCCCTCAAGCTGTTTAATATGCTACCACTCACTTGGGTTTCTCCAAGGGCTCGGGCTCCTTTCGAGCTTTGCCTACAGGATTCTTCTCAGCTTCTTCTGCTGTTACCAAGTGAAATTCAGCTTCCACCTTGCCCTAGATCGGAGAAATCATACATAACCATCCAGTCCTGAGTTAAAACAATTACAGAAGTATTTGCCTTTCAGAGAAATATGGGAACCAGCTAAGGATGAAGGAAATTGATTAAAGAAAATAAGAGAAATAGGCTGTAGGTATAAATAAATAAATAAATAAAAACAGAGAAGAAACATAGACACCAAATTTCTATATACTCAAAGACCACAAGGAAACAGAGGTAGCATATTTTCATCTGGACCTATAAAACTTTTTCTGCTTCCTAAATTACAAAGGAATTGATCAGAAAAGATGTCTTGAAAAGTCTGTTCCCCCAGTCTTAGGAAAGTTGTCATGCCCCTTTGGATTCTGTCTTCCATTTAGATAAAGAAATAATTGGCTTAGGGAGTATAATTCAAGAAGAAGAGTAGACTGCATCCTTTCCACTTGCAAAGTGTCACTAGCAAGAATCAGGTTCTTTGCCCTGTTTAAAGTGTGAAAAGTAGAAGAAGAAAATAAGTAGAAGTAAGTAGAAAAGAAATTAATAAGTAGATAAGATTTCTGCCATGGATTCCTCAGCTGACATGAAGTTGGCTGGAAGCACTTATTTCTCCACTCTACCCATCCAGTATGTTAGGAGATGAACAGTAGAAGGAAGCAAAATAATAATATAAAGTGCTCTGGTTGCCTGAGATCATTTGAACTTAATCTACAGAGAACTACTGAAGCATTTAGAGAAGTTGCACGGCTTGCCAGTGTTGGTTATTCTTTGGGTAACCTCAGCAAATTAGTATCTATCATCTGTCTTGTTTCAGGATCTCAGCAAAGCACATTAATCCAAGAGAAAAGCTTCTGTAACTCACTAGTGAGATGCCTACCGTGAGCTCCCCAGCCTTGACGAAGGGCCACCAGCCTCTGACACGCTTCTGCTGAAATATGGAGATCTTGTTTTCTTCACTTACTGCCACAACCATGTTTAGGTCACAGCTCTTGGCTGTCTTGGCAGCTCGAGGGAACCCGTTCAGGTTCATTTCAAGAGTGCCTGGAGGGAGAAATAATGCAACAACACTCAGAGACCAAACAGACACAAAAATATTCAAATAGTAGTTTCCAGCAAAGATATGCAGAGCAACAGAGCAGCTTGGGTCCAAGGTGCTTAACTGAGAAGCTTTCTGCATCATCAGTCATTCATTTATATTGCCTTAACGCTGTCTCATCCGAGTTCCTAGCTATTTAGTCTCCAAGAAATGGTATAATCTTGCAGTTTGGTACTTCAAAAAAATACAAGCAAACTTTGAGTCCCAGATGCCTCCTTGTATGTACCTCTGTAAAACAAAGGTCTGATGAAACCTCAGCTGAAGTTCAGATAGTTTCTTTGCACACTTACCCAAGAAATCATCTGAAGAAAGTCTTTCAAAGTCCCAGACCTGAAGCACCAGCTCAGCAGGTATTTTGCGCTCTGTCTTTTCCAAGGAAAATATGTTTTCTCTTTTACTAACCACCATTTGTTTCTCAGCTGGGAGATAGTGGAAGGGGAAGACAAAGCGCCAGTTGAAGTTCCCCTCTCCCGTCAAGGAGTTGTAGTGTACATCTGTCTCCTGCTTGTCCTCTTCCAGGCCTTTTATCCACCTAAGGAAAGCACATAGCTGAATGCATGGTAGTCCCTAGAGGAGCTTGAATTGTGCTTTTTAGCATTCAGTTACAAGGGTGATCATTTCTTAGCTCTTCCCCAGTCAGTAGGAAGTAACAGCATAGCTCAGGATTGCAGCAGGGCAGTGATGACCATGGCTCAGGGGTCTCAGCTACCTCGCAGTCATGGCACAGGACACAGCCATGGCCAGTGATGATCAAAACTTGAGAGTGAGATCATGAATTTTATTTATATCAGACACAAAGAAAATCCACTGTGCCATTTACTCTTGGCTAGGATATCTGCCTTGTTTTGGACAGCCAAAGAGAGCATTATTTTTATATTCTTTACTAATCACACTCTATTCATGCTGTACCATGCTAATAAATTTTGTGTCAGTGTCCTAGAGCTGATTTAAGTGCTTGGAGTCCAAGTTGTTTGCACTTGTAGTTCCAGAGTGTAAACATGGCATAAATATGGCTGGCGAAGCCTCTGCAGTTTTTCTTCTGTATTTTTTTCCTCTTGTTTTCTGATCCAGTGTGAACAACCTCTGATGTGCAATGATATGTTTCAAAAGGACAATGCTTTCCTAAGCATACATTATCCTCTCTTCCGAAGGTAATGACCCAGCTATGTATGCTTCAGGTCTGAGGATGATTTATTACAGCTTGAGTACAGATTAAATTTCTTTGCAGTGCAGCCAAAAAATTGGCCACCTCCCTGCAAGCGCCATTATTTCAAAAAATACTGGTGAAAGATGTTAATAATCCCAAGTACATCAGAGTCCTTCATGCAAATCCATGTCTGGTAGCAGATTCTGGTGCCAGGGCTGCTAAGAGAGCTACCTGAACATAGTAAGATTTATGTGTTCATCATTAGGGCACAGAAGCACAAAGTTCTCTGCTCCGAGTTCTCCTTATCTGCCAGCAACGGTGCAGGCAGCGATGCTCTCATACTGCAGGGCAGCTCAGCTCGAAGGGACTGCCTGGTTACTTCCTCAGTTTCTAGTTTTGTGTTATCATCAGAACTGCTCTACTACCATGCTGAATGCATTCACTTAATGCTAAGGTGAGTATATCTGTGTGAATGCAAGTAATTTCAAATTAAACACCACTGAAGGACCCGCCAGGGAGGGCTTGCTTGGCCAGTCTGTGCAAGAACCATGCTCATGGCATCCTGGAGCCGTGTGGCTGTGCTAGGGCACCTTGCCCAAGCTGGTACCACCTATTCCAAAGGATTGGCACCTGGTGCCCTATGGAACTTGATCAGAGCTTGCTCAGTTTGCTGCAGAAAAATGCTTGTAGGTATACCCTGCAAAGGAATAAGAGCTGCTACCAGCCTGCTCTGTCCTTATGCTTACTTTTACTGTGTTCATTTGACTCTCAGAACAGGCAAAGTGGAAAACATTCTCCTTATCCACCCCAGTCAGTGCTAGGGCCCCTCCTGCACCTCTCTGTGTCCAGTCTTGGCAATGCAGAAGGTGTCAAGCAGGAGATTCGGTTTTCCATGTGTCCAGCACCCTGGAAATTTGTATTGGTATAATCATCTCGCTCTCTAGCACTAGAAATTCAGCAAGAAATTTAAGACCAGTCTCAGCGGAGATTTCTGATAACTCATGCTTCCACTTACACCACAATTTCTTCTTCCCTCCTCTCTGATATCTCTGTACAAGCCCTGATCAGAAGCAGATATTGCAAAGCAATACTCCAAAAAAGGAAAGCAATTTTAAGCAATAATGTGCTGCAATATCAGGAAAGAGCTTATTGAAGACTCCACTTTCACTCTCTCTTCATTTTCTGTAAGTGAATTCCTTCCCTTTTACTGATCATCACAGTAATTGCTTCAAAGCTGACACAGGCTTTTAGATGGTGGCAGCATCCAGAGGGAGAGCAGTAGGTGCCGATGTAGTGTCCTCCCACTCTATTCACGGTCACTCACCCACATAAGGAGTGATTGGTTAGAAAGAATTTTCCATAGGAATATCTTGGGATACACCTGCTTCCTTGTCTTAATATGGGCAGTACTTTTTTTCTGTCATTACTTCCACCTCTCTGCATCTGTGCAAGAGCATTGAACCTTATGGTTCAAATTCTGTATTTGAGCTCTGTTAAAAGCTGGCCTTGGTCCTCTTATGCTGCCAGTGCCTGAGCAGGAAATAAGGACTAATGACATTTTATAGTATTTTGATTCTAAAAGCAAAAAAAAAGATGAAGAATTTTCCAAAATAGATGGTTAATTTGAATGAGGATTCATAATAAATGACCAAGATCACAGAATAAGCTTATGGCGTATGCTCACAGTATAATTTTTGTGACTGATTTTGACCCAGGTATTATTTGTCCTTTTAAGAAACAAGCAGCATTGGTATGATGATAGCATCCTGAGGTGCTTACCCTTTTACATAGATATCACTTGATTTTTGCCCTGTAAAGATATTTTCATCTTCTAGAATTACATCCTCTGTATTCCAGATTATTACTCTCAGTTCATAGCTGGAAAAGAAAGAAACAGCATTTTGTATAGTTGAGTTTAAGATCACACTACCAAAAGCTCTTTTTTTCCCCCCTCCCCCTTTTTTAGCAGATCTTTGTGTCACTAAGGTGTGGCCAGACACTGGTGAAAACCTGTATCAGGTTTTAAAAAGTGAGAAATGCTGTACTTGCACAAATCTCTTAAAGCAGGATCATCAGGACCCTTCTGTTTATTAGAGTGTCTAGTGACAAAGCAAAAGCAATGACTCTGAGCTCGCTGGATGTGCAGAATGACAGGAGGCATCAGTGCCAGCTTTGGAGGAGGGGAAGAGTCCTTGCTTTTTTACCTGCATGTTCCTTTTCAGTACTGTTCACAAAAATGCTGCAATGCAGCCGGGCTAAACTGGTCTGAACATCATCACTAGAGCAGCCTCTATGATTTTTCTAAAATGGCATGTGCTGTCTGGGACATACCCTCGTTCTCAGGTGTGAGACTGGTAGATATATCAGTTTGCCCCAGAACTACCAGGTATCCTCACTCAGCAGCTGCAGTCAGTCCTGCCATGAATCCAGCATCGGAGAGGCATCCTGGGCTACTGCAGAACTCTACCCTAGACAAGGAGGATTTCCATCTGCAAGGCTGTAGCAGACCCTGGTTCAGTCTAGGATCACTGACAAGAAATGTTTTCAAAAAGCAGCCTGAAAACTGTTTTGCTGCATCAAATCTGCACTTCTCTGCAAAACATGAAGCCTTTGTTTGCATGCTTATCTTCTTTCTGATAACTAATGGTTTAGCAACATTTTTCCTTTTTTTCTGCTTTTGTGGGTATTACTAATATATATATATATATACACATACAGTCTTGGCAAATGTCTATTGTCAAGGTACTTTACAGAAAGTTCTAGTCTGAAGAAAGTAATTGTTACATAGATTCTTGGTTTTGTCAAAGCAAAATGTTTGATGTTGCGTCAGATATAAAATTCTCCTCAAAAAAGCTTGTTAAAATACTGGAATAAAGCTGATATGGAAACAGTTCAGAACTCTATTTGCCTTTTTTATCATTTGCAAACATTTAATTAGTTTGAAGAGCTCTGTATAGCACTGCATATAAATCTAGAGAAGTATCCATCTGAAATAAGAGCAATTGATATTTCAAATGCACCTCAGTCTGCTCCTGCTTTATATGTTTCTTGAGTTTATCCCTGAATCACGTGCTGGAAATCCAGCAGGTACAAAACTGTTGCACCAGGGTAAAGATTTCGGCCTGTGGTCACGTACACTGTATGGCTGGAAGTGGTAATGAAAAGAGAACTAGTCCTTTCAGCTCAGAAAATGGTTGATAATATCAGAATTCTTAAGGGACTCTTGCCTCTACCTATTTGAAATCTGATGTGAAAAAGGCATCTCTTCATAAAAGGAATGTGATAGCAAATTGCCCACCATTCTTGACTTGCTTAATGGAGCACACTAGATGTTCTCTTTCAGTTTGAAATAGTGCACACCAAAGGAAAGTTTTGTTAGGGCCACATAAGTTTGTGATGATAATTCTTTTAGTAGTTCTTTCCAAACACCTAAGACAAACTCAGTCCTTGAAGATTTATGCCATCATGTTGGAATAAATGCACAGGTTATTACCCTTTCGGCTTTCTTGGTGAAATGTCCACTGGAGGTCCTGGCAGAGGCATATCTGTAGGAAACATGTCTACCCACATCTGTACGCGACCCTTGAGAAAAAAGAAAAGTTTTTTTTTATTCTTATATCTTGGGCAATATAGAATTCACCTACTTTTTACAGATCCCACAAGATTTTCAGATCCAGCTTTTCAAATACCAATCATACCACGCATGGCTATTGTGTGACTAGGTAGCTCACTGTGTCGGTGTATGTGACCATTTCCAGGCTGACATTGTGCGCAGACTCCTATATGATATAATACCTGAAAGCTGCCTCTGCCAGTCTGCTGATACTAACAGAAACCAGAGTAACTGGAGCAAGACTTCTCTGAGGCCTAGGATATCACCATCCTCTAAGTGGTCCTACCTGCTCCATGCCTGGTTTATCCTTATGAAAGAGAGGCCGAGTCTCAATATGCTCTGGGACCAATTTGTATCCAACTCCAGGGATTTCATCCCAAGCACGTAAAACCTTTAAGGAGAGATGTTCATATGA